GTTCAGGCAAGCTGCTGCTGTACTGTGCTAACAGTTGCTTATCAGACCTTTTCATGCACATGATTTTGGACTGAGTGGTAAACAGGTGATTTCTGGGGTGAAATTTCTTCTTCATTTATCAACCATGTTAATTCTTTTCCCTTGTGCTTCATTATGATTGCACTCTTAGCAGTCCCTGCAGAGACAGCAGGGAGCTGGAAGCATCTGCAGTGTTTTTTCTGCTGATTGCAAGGGCTGGAGGAGTTCAGAAAGCACAGGTTGTTGCCTACAGACTCCATGGAGCAGGGCCCAAAAGGCTGATTGCATTTTAGACTTGCCACTCTGCTTGTTGTAGAGGCTGTAGTGCTTTCCTGAGCTCGTGGTACTGAGTGGATACACTGACTGACAAGTAATGGTCTGTAACTTGGCGCTGCTCAGCAAGAGCTTTTCAAAGCAGCTGTAAATGTGTGTTAGCTGTAGCTTGAGATTGAAACAGCTCCTCTTTCTGCAGATTCCTGGGGTAAATTCCCCAGCTGAGATGCACAGTTGCAGCATCTCTGACATTGAAAAAGCTCATCTATGCACCAAAGAGCTAAGTATGGATGCTTTATGGGAGTGTGGAGATTTACTGATTTTCATCCATTTGATGTGAATGTGCTCATAACCATCCCAATGGCCCAGTTTTCCTCCAGCGCTGGTGGTGTGGATCTGTGCTGGTGTAATTTTATGACTGAAATGAATGAACAGTGCATGTGTACCTCATTTGTGAGGTGATAACTGTCCTGGCCATGCAAGGCTCCTGGGCTTTCAGAGCAGCCAGGAGGAAAGGCAGCAGGCTCTCAGCTTGGGCATCACCCTGTGGATTTAGCATCTCCTCTGTGAGTGCTAGTTCCCAATTTAGGCATCCAACTTCACACAGGTTTAGGAGCCCTTTCCTTTGCTCCATACTTGCTGTTCCATTCTCCTCTCTTCCTGGCAGTGCGAAAGGCTGGAGTTATAACCAGCACTCTGTGAATCACTTAATTCCTCTGATAATAGCTTCTCCCATCTAGAAAGAAATGATGCATTTCCCTGCCTTCTGCCATTTATAGAGAAGCGTCTGCCTGCTTCATTTTTTTTTCCTCTCAGCCTTACTTTTCACTCCTTTCTCAGCATGAGACAGGCTTGCTGAGTCTGCCTCTGCTTCCCATTTGCCATGTGTGAGAGGCAGAGCAGAGGAACACTGTGTGCTGCCTCAGTTCCTTGCACCCCGTGAGGAACTGCAGCCCCTGCAGGAAACTCATCCATGCTTAAGCTCAAGGCACTGCATTCCTCAGGACTTTTCTAAATATCCGTGGTTCATCTTTTCTCTGTTGTTGTTTTTCTTTTCTTTCCCTGATGGACCATCCATTACATTGTCTGTGAGATCTTCTGGAGATAAATGTCGTGTAAATGCCCTGTGTTAACTCAGCACTTTGGTACGTAGAATTTGAGAAAATGGGAAACTTGGAAAAAATGCTTGAAGAGGGAACTGATCTGGGAGTAGGGATGGTGATTAGAGACAGTATTTGCCTAAGACTTACTGTTTGTGATCATGTGCATTCTGGGGGTATGATTCAGCTTCCTTTGAAGTCAGTGATAATCTGCTGTTGTCTTGTGTGGCTGTTGGATCAGCCTCATTAAGACAAGCCTGGCCTCTATACCACATAATGTTTCTCCTTTTGGCTTCCAATAGAGACATCCATATGGCAGGAACAAGGACGTTTCCCTGCTCTTTCATTGTCAATATGTTTCCCTTTTGCAGCAAATCCAAGCAGTGCAGCTTGCAAACATTCTTTGCCTGAGACTTGGGACTGCAGAAGTGGTGCTGCTGAGGAGAAAGCTGTAAACCTCTGAGCCAGCCAATTATATGGAAACTTTTCTTCTTTTTGTGCTGCACCACAGCAGGAGCAGCCACCGCCACAGGTCTCCCCAAGACCTCACTCCCACGTGGGACGTGCACCTGCTGGTGACCACCACTTCCCATGGAAGGAGTCACTGTGCAGTCAGATGCAGTTAAATGCTGCTTTAAGGCACTTTTCAGCGTTTTTAGTTTACTTGACACCTTTGATTCCTTGTCACTTGTACAGAAACCAGTCTGGCCTGCCTCTTTTTTGCATATCTGGTTTTTTGTTTGTCTCCCAGGGACAGCAGATACTAAGAAACAGTGGTTGAAAATTGCTGAGGAGATTGTTTGTCTCTTCTAGTTCACAACTTGAACCAAATACTTAATTCAAAACTCATGTCAGCTAAACCAGGTGGTTTCTGATGGATCAGACTATTTCATTATCAGAGATTTGGTGTAGAGGGAGGTTCTTAAAGAAAAAAAAGTGGTGAGGTGTAATTGATTTCAAGGCATTATTTCAAAGTGAAAAAATAAAACAACCCAAACTCTGAAATAATAATTTGGTTTCTTTTAAGCAAATGGGAGAAAGAATAGACACAAGAATTCTTAAACAGCAAACCAGTCATCTGCAGAAGCTCTCACAGCTTTAGGGGAAAGGGTTAAAATCCCTGTGGTGTCTCCTCCAACCTTCACATTACACTGAAGAGTAATTTGGCCCAAGCTCTCTCTTGGTAGAGACTCTGCCTTGGGAAAAAAGCCTCTGCTCATGGTTCCTTGCTCCTCCCTCTTCTCTCCTCCAAGACTTCTCTGGGCCCGTTTCTATACTTAATATGTCAGGTCAATGTTATTTATGCTGAGTCTAACTGGGTTCAAGCAATTCTGTTTTACATTCTGTTTTGGAAAGAGAATCCCTCTAACATTTAGAAATGCTTTACATTGTAAAAAGGGTTTTTTCACTGATGGGCTTGTTTCTTCCTGGGAGTTTGGATACTCTGTGGACCAACACAGTAACATTTGTTTTCACAAGGAAGCGCATGTTTGAGCCGTGTCTCATGTAGCTGGGTATTTTGAAATCTATTTATCCATTCCAAAATGCTTGCTTGACCTATACTTGACTTGGGCTTACAAGAAATTTTATGACACTACTAGAGCCCAATCAGCTGTAAGTAACAGCATTTTGCAAATTTTATTATTTATCATTGCTATGATTATCATTTCTAGAGCTGTAGAGTCTACAAGTAACAGAATCAGGGTGTGACATCTATTTTTTCTTCCCACAGGAAGACTTAACCACGTCTATAGTCCTCCATAGCATTGCATTTTTTTAGGAATACACATTGCTTAATATTTACCCTGTTCATTGCATTAATCAAAAGGGCTTTTTTCATGTACCCCACACACCTGAGGGTGTTCTTTCCATGTGGCATAAGCGTTGGCTACAAGGATAGTGCAGCCTCTAGAATCAGATTCCCTCTGGATGAAATAATAAGCTGTGATTGCCAAGTCAAACATTCTTCAAGAGCAGCAGTGATTCAGGCTTCTAATTAGAACAAAGCTAAAACATTCACTCTTGGGCTTATGTTTGACTAGAAATCTTACTATGATGCACTACTGAAGCATAAGTGTATTTTTATTTGTATTGTGAATATGTGAACTTGCTCAGCAAAAGTTCTTGTGGCTGTAATTGATGAACCAAGCAGTCTCATGCTTCCTTCTCAGGCTCAACAATCAAGTAGAAAGCACAAACTGCTTTTGTTTTCTTTTATACAATAAGGAAATTTAGTCTGCCTAGAACAACATAGCTGGTAGTCACTCAGACTGTGTTAACCCAGGCCTTGCTCTCCCTGAAAACACCTATGCTCCAGCTGTCATCTCCTTCAACACTGTGAATATTCACACTGTGAATATTTTCTGTAACACTGGGAAGAATGAACCATGCTGCAACTTTCTGTCCTCAGTTCTCAACTGAACTTCTTATATTAGATAGCTTGTACTGCAATACATCTATTGTACTAAACCCACAGGTTTTAAAGTCATCTTTAGGTATAAAACCAAAAGCAATTTGCTTTAAAAGCTTTTAACTTCCTGCTTCTTTCTTGGCAGTTCAAATCTTGAGTTTGGGTAGATCAATATTTTTTGAGATGATTTTCTGTTCAAGACAGTTGGAAAACTGGAATGACTGTGTTTGAAAAACCTGGAGTTCTAAATCAGTTGCTGATTATCAACTGTCTGAAAAAATGCATACAAAATATTAATTTTATTGATGGCACTCATTCATCTTCATACTACTTTGTTTAGTGAGAGGTCTGCTAAGTTCAGGAGTTCTGAGAACAGAGTGGGTATTGGATCTCAGTTAAATATGGACTATAAATTTTGGGTCTGGTTTTCAAATGGTAAAAATTCATGGGGTCTGCTTTTTAATTTTTCATTTAAGTTATATTTAATGATTAATTGGTTAAGCCTCTATATATTCCTAGCAGGATGAGTTTCCTTCTGGGAGACAGGAATTTGACATAACTTGAAATGAGTAGCTACCTAATTTGAAGACAGGATATATTTTAAAGAACACTGAGGATGCAGGATGGTTGGGACAGAAATTCTCCTTTTGCCTTTTCAATCTTGTTTCTCAGCACTGCTGAGCTGGAGCGTTCATTCTTTCTTTGCCATCTCTCAGGAGAAGAGAAAAATGAAGGTTGCATCAAATAAGAATTGTCTTATTGTGTGTTGAGCACAGTTATTTACTGGTCTTCATTTCACCCCCTGTGAGTGGCTCTAAGGGATTTATAAAATCTACTGATACACTTTCAAGAAGTTAAGTGCCTTAGCTTTTATACATTAATAAATTTTCCACAGCTGCAGATGCTCAGAAGCACGTCTTGTGAAATCTTCACATTTTAGTTAAAAAAAAAAAAAAGGGACAGTAAAAAAATAAAAAAAAAAAACTTGTCGAGCTCATAGCCAAGTTCTTCTCCAAATACTTCCAGCTGCAGCTAGAGGGATGAGTCATGCTGAAAGCTGAGGAGATTTTCTAAAAGCCTTGGTTCACATGATTTTTATTTTTTTTTTCTAATTTTACATTCCTGTCTGTTTCTTTCCTTAAAAAAAAACCAACCAAAAAACCAACAACCAACCAAAAAACCCAAACCCAAACGTGCAGGCGAGTCACCCAAGGAAAACCCGTACGAGGATGTGGAGCTGAAAGGCCGTCACGGGGGGCGAAAATCCCATCAGCTGTCCGAGAACTCCCTAGATTCCCTGCACAGGATGTGGACGCCGCAGAGCAGGAAATACACGGCACCTCCGCAGGTAAAGCAGCAGCAGCAGCCCTGGGCGGGCTGCGCTCGGAGCCGCCTGCCAGGGCCGCTCCCGGCACGGCTCTGGGGCCGCGGGCAGCGCTCCGCAGCCGCCGCTCCGCTCCCCTCCCCGGGGCTGCCCCGGCCTCGCAGCGCCCTGCACAACCCTTCCTCTGCTTGTTTTGGAGCCGAGTCTGCGCCTCAATTAGCTCCGTGTGCGGCTGCACCTCTCAGGGAATTGCCTGTGCTGCCGGGCAGGGACAGGAGGGGAGAAGGCAGCCGCTGGTTTTGTCCCTGTGTTGTTACACGAGGCCCCTGCTCATGGGGAGTCGGTAGTGTGAAAAACGCCATCCACTTGTTTTTAAAATTTTGAAAGTTTAATAGTAATAAAATGGTTAGAAAAATAGTAATACAATTAGAGGAATAGTAATTTGGACAATTTGAATTAGGACAATATGAGACAATAAAGACAAAGAGTTACGGACGTCCGGGTACCTTTTTCTGGGCAGCACGAGCCTGAAAAAGGACCCCCGTTAACAGAGGATTAACCCTTAAAAGCAATAGCCTGTTGCATATTCATACACTTGATACATGATGCATAAATTCCATTCAAACACAGGATTCTGTCTGGTCATCACCAACTTCTTCCTCTGAATCCTAACAGTGCCTTCGAGGTGGGAAGATGTTGGTTTCTTCTGATAAGAGGGCAAAAAATTCTTTTTCTCTGGAAGATTTAGGTGTCCTGTGGCTGCTATCTTGCTGCGAGTCCTTTCTTCACAAAAAAAAAGTATTTCGTAGCATAGTTTTTATTTTAACATTTTTTATAACCTAAAACTATATTTAACACACTACTTAAGAGAATTAATGCAGCATTACTTTCTAACACAACACATATAATACTCATTTTAATATTTGCAAAAAGCCAATTATAAAATACATGCATTTTTCCCAGTAGTGTGGCATGTTTAGTGTAAGAATGCCAGGTAAAAGCCCTGACTAAATACATGAATAATAAAATAGTCAGAAAAACCTGAGTGTCTGCAGTTAACAAGTGTTTATAAATTGTGTTTATAGCATAAAAAGAAAGATGAGGAACTCAGCAGACTTTCCCTTTTGTGGTGAATTATCCAAAGTAAGCCTGTTTTTTTGTGAACACCATGAAATACCAGGTTGCTTTGTTGTTTATGGGATCACTATGTTCATAAGGAAAAATATAAATCTCAACACATACTTAATTTTGAGATTCAAAGCACCCTTTTAAAGGAACTTCACTGTGCACTGAATTAACAGAAAATTCGCAGTTGAACAAAAGGTCACAGCAATTTACATTTTTGTCCTGTAGAGACCTAGAAAGAAAACTGAATGCATTTTCTTTCACTTGCTTTGTGTGCATGCAAGCATCACAATCCAAAAGAAGCATCACCAGGATTCTTGGTGTGCTCCTGGCACATCCCTTCTAAACCAGGAGTGACTTCAGCAAGCTGCTGGAAAAGGAACAAGTGGAGAGTAGTAATCAGGCATAGAAAGGAGAAACAGGCACTGCAGTCATGAGGATAATAGGGAAATGTCCCTCATAGTGGGACATGGTGCATAACAACTATTTCTGGCTGTGTGTGTGTTATCAGGAGTTGTGTAGCATCCAGAGGATCCCTGAGGTTGTGTCTTTAGGTTGGGAACCATACAGATCCATAGGAAGATACTGGCCAGTGTTCTCTAACAGAGGGTTACCAAAGAATTTACAGATTTAAGTGCCTTCCGTAAAGCTTTTCAGTAAATAAGAACTCTCTGGTACCCTTTGCAATAGGGCTGGCTTTGTTCTGGCAGCTTCTTTTTGAAATGCTGCTGGGAGTGCTCTGACAGGAGTCAGTCCTGCCATAATTGCACTGTCATTGTGCTGATAGTTAAAATGAAGAGACACTAGGAGCGGGTCAGCTTTGGGCTGGGTAATTCTCCAATGACCAGAAATAGAAAAGTCTGAATTTCCTGAAGAATGGTAGCTTTGGCAATGGTTTATCACCCAGTTTTTCCATCATAGCAACAAAGCTGGGTTAGCAACATGACTTTTCAGTCATGGATGAAGATAAACAAGATGGAAGAGATCAGAAGGTCAGCAAGCTTCCAACAATCATCTCCAAAAAGAATTCCCTTCAATAAGGGATAGACTGCCACCAGGTTTCCTGGAGTGCTAACCTGGGATTGCAGAGACCTCTGAGACACTGGTGTTGTGGTCATTTTGAATCCCTGTCTCTCTTCTTTTCCCACTGATTATTTTCAGTTTTTCAAGTCATCAGGTATGAAAGGAATGTTTTATGGTGACATTGTATTTGTGACGCAACCCCTCTCCACAGAAACACCTGTGCTTAATCCCAGGTGGGATGGCACTGCAATCAGTCAGCCAATAAATGGGACATTTATTGCTGCAGGTTTATAGCTTGTAACAGCGTTGATAGAATGTCAGTAAATGCCAAATGACAGATGCTTGACACAATAATACTTTTTTATGCTGGGGAAGCTTTACAGTGTTTGTGTTTGAGAGGAGAAGGAGAGACCTGGAGCTGGGCAGAGCTGCTCCTAGGACTGCTCCAAAAGACCTCCAATTTTTTAAAGACAGATGTTACCTGGTGCTTAATCCTTCAGTGAGATTTCCCCTTTGCCCTGTAGTGATAACAATTTCATGTTTTAAAGGGATTTTTTTGGGAACGTATGGAGAGTTGTAGCTGCACCTCTGCTCATGGTCAGGTCTTAAAACTTTTTAACACCATGAAAATAGAACAAGTTTTTTTTTCTACATTATTTTTTCTTGGCTAAAATAGCATGAATTTGCAATTGTAGTTATTACTTTTGCACTGAATTAATATTACAATAAATTGTGTAATTACTCATTATTTTCACTCCTGCAAGTCAGAGGAATGGACCAGGCCTCTTTGGGTTAGTGCTCTGGTGTCAGCCAAACCTTCAAGTTAGATTTTGGGGCTCACAGACCTGAGGGGATGTGGGTGCCTGGAAATGTAGCAGGTCACAAATGGTGTTGCTCTCTTTGAACTTTAAAGTTTTGGAGGTTGACCCCTGTCCCTTCACTGTGACCTTGACACACACCCTGCGGAGTGGTGGCTCCCCTGGTGCTGGTGTCCCTGGCATGGTGCAGCCACCCCTGTGTCACAGGTGGCAGAGTGAGACACCGGCTGCCCTAGGTTGCTGGAATATATTAGGGGAAGAGCTCAAGCTGTCCTTGTCCCTGCAGCTGCCCTCGAAGGTCAGCAGCCACTCCCTGCGCGTGGGGAACTGGTCGGAGAGGAAGAGCCACCGCCTGCCGCGGCTGCCCAAGCGGCACAGCCACGATGACATGCTGCTGCTGGCCCAGCTGGGCATCCCCTCGTCCCCCTCCAGCCTCACCGAGGACAGCCTGAGCACCGCCAGCGAGCTGCTGTCCACGCGCCGCGCCAGGAGGATCCCAAAGGTACCCGCAGGGTGGGCACGGCCTGTGCTCAGCAGAGGTCACCGGGCTGCGAGAGCTGGGGCATTCCCGGGCACCTGCTGGGGCTTATCTTCTCTGTGCCAGGGCTGGAATGAAGTGATTGAGGTGGTGTTTCTTGTTCTTTAGTTCTTATCCATATCACAGTCTCACAGAGCATGAGTTCTACAGCACTTCAGTCTAACAAACTAAAAATGGAGCCGTATCACTCTCTCTACGAGGCTTTTTAAGGATAAACTGTCCCATTAAGAAATGACACCTAAATTATTTTTACTTTTAACCAACCCAATTGTGGCCCATAATGAGGACTTTTTTATCCAATTACACAAAACCACCCAAACCCATGAGGAGGAAGGTGAAGAAGAAGGACCAGCCTCTGCCCTAAAACCTCCATTTTGCTCTATATATATTACGATATTCTAAAACTTTAAACTCTTAAGTTTTCCACCTTGTGATATTATACACTTCTATTCAAATCACACATCCATAATCCCAGTTCTGTCAATCAATTTTGGAAGCCTTCTCTATGGCCTCAGGTCAATTGCAGTGTTCTCTTGGGGATCAGTGCCTGTCAGCACAGAAAGTCTAAAATCTCAGTAACCAGGGTTCCAACAGCCAGCCTTCACAACAGCAATCACTGAGAGCTCTTTTTGTAACCTAGAGGAACATTTAGATCAAAATCCCTTCCCTAGAAGTGATAACTTCCAAATTCTCCAAGAGGAGCAAACATCTGATGGCCATCTTTGCACAGAATTGATTTTAAGACAGTTCTGTTTTTCACACTGTTCTTTAAGCTCTGTGGACCAGAGCATTGCTGTGTATATAACTTTAAGATTTGTAATGGGTGATGGCCAAACAATTATTATTTATAACGTGCAGCAACATCTGAAGTGGTTTATTTCCCCATCATTTCTTTCCAGGAAAATAACTAATTGGCCTAATAGGTTTCCCTTTGTTTAGTCACAACTGACCCCATCCTGATAACCATGCTGTCTTGATGGATTTGAAGTAAAACTTAATTTTTCATTTTTTAAGGAATTTTTCAATTCAAAATGGAATGTGAACAAAACCCTCAGCCACAAGACAACAACCAAAAAACCAACAATACAGCAACAGAGAGGGGGAGAACTGCCAATGCTTCATTTTGGCTTGTGAACAAAGTTGATTTTTACTGTGTATTCAACTCTTTCCTGTTCTTATTAAAGAGCATATTTTATAGTTCATGGCTATAAATACAGTGAGTAGAGGGAGATTTTTATGTTTCTGTGAATTTGTTGGAAATTCTGTTTAAGGAGGAAATTAATCCTACATCCTTAATATTTACTGTATTTTTACTTTCTTGCAATATATTGTTATACTTCATCAATAGGCACACATCTCTGGAGGGAATCATAGGGTAGTAACCCTAACAGAGTAACTTACTACCTGATTTTGAGTAAAACATGGAAAGGTTGGCTGTTAATTTTGCCCCCATTTTTTTAAATTGAAAGGACAGATATTCTCCCTATGTGAAATTCTGATTTCATCATATGAATGTTCACAATTTTATTGCAAATCTTGTGATAATTTCTGTTTTCTTACTACTTTACCTTTCAGGATCATGTATTCCTGGAGAATATAATTTTTTTAATTGAGCTAGTGTTAGTTATTAGAGGGAAAACCTAAAAAGGTTTTGCTTCAGTCTGTGCTCTGTTACTGCCCTTCGGCTGTGTCTATAGCAAATTGCATCCTTTCTCTCAGTTTATTTCTCTCTGGAAGCTGAGGTGAAACAGCTTTTGCAAACTCTATTATAATCCTATGAAGGAATCTACTATGGAATTAAATATACTATTCCTGACTTATAAAACATCATGAAGATTAATTGCTACATATTTGTGACTCTCCCATAGTTATAATATCCTGTTAAATGTTGAATTCTTAGTAATCCCAGTCTCTTGCTGAAGGCAATAAACACAAGTCATCTCATTAATATTTCCCATCATCTCAGATATTTTTGAGGCAAACAGTTATTATCTGCATTAGCTGGTCTATCATCCATGTTTTGTTTCAATACATTAAAAAAGTCTCCTGGCAGAAAAATGTTTAGTTCTACTGATTCCCCATTTTCTTATTTTGCAGCTTGTCCAAAGAATCAATTCCATCTACAGTGCAAAAAGAGGGAAAAAACGACTGAAGAAACTTTCTATGTCCAATATTGAGACAGCGTCTCTACGAGGTATGGTGCCAGTGACAGGGTCCAGTGAATCCATTTGGATGCTACAGGATGAATCAATTTCCTTCTTTCCTCCACATCTACCCTGGACTCCACCTAGTTTAGAACTTTTTTCTGTGAACAATGATGATTTTCTCTCTGCAAGAGGAGAAAATGGGGATGAGCTAGAAAAAAGAGAGATTCTTAGTATTGTGTATCTTGTTAATCCCGTGGTCAGCTCGACTTACCCAGCTTCTTCTTTAGTCCACATTTACTGTAAGTTTTGACCAAAATTCACAGTTTTGACCCTGGAGTTCTCACATGCTTTTTCCTGGCACTCACAGTGTGTAACTCACCCTGTGCTTCAGAATGCTTCTGGAAAGGAAAATTCAGGACCTGTTTGTAGTAAGAATACAATAGGGCTTTAATCAAGAACTCCTCACTAACACATCTTGTCATAAGGTTACTTTTGCCTATTAACTCTAACTCAGTTTGGTGACTTCTGGTGGTTGGGAATGTTGCCCAGGCAGATAAAGTTCATAAAGCTTACTTTGACTTCTCAAGTGCTGCATAACTTAAAAAAAAAAAAAAAAAAAAAAAAAAATTGAAACCTGAAAACAAGAAGGGAAAGGGTTAAGACCTGTTTCCAAATGTCACTTTTGCAGCTCAGCATAGATGGGGATTCAGTGCAAACAGTTGCTGTAATGGAGAATGAATTTTGCCCTTTCATCAAAATGAAGTTCTTACTCTCAAGCAATATTGAAACTGAATCCAAGGAAAACACAATCCAGCGAGTCATTCAAACTGTTTACTTCAAGATATTTTAAGCCTGAGGAGAAGTGCATGTGTGTATGGCATGGCTTAGAGATGTGAGATAGGATTTTTCCCAGTTGCAGCACAGTGAGCTAAGTTTGTTTGCTCTGGTTTTGCATTAACTGATGCTTCTGTGTCCTCTGCAGATGAGAACAGCGAGAGTGAGAGTGACTCAGATGACAGGTTTAAAGGTAAGGGATCAGCCTCAGTGACTTCTTGTTAGCCCCTGTCCCTGACCCTATCAATGTATGTTCTCCTGTTGCTGCACATTGTTCCTGTCCATGGCCTATATTCTCTATAGTTTCCTAACTCCATTACTGCAGAGCTCCCAAAGTCCCAACACAGGAGCATGAACGTGGAAAGCAAGGACAAAATGGGCTGTGAAGATCTAACAAGGATTTGGCAACTGTGTCACTTAATGAAGAACAGGACCTTTGATAGATTGGCTTTGTCAGCCACTTCAGAGATGCTGATCTATTCCAGACTGACTACTGGGTGCAGGCTTAGAGGGATGGGACTGAATAAAGGTGCTCCTTTCTTATTCATATGCTGCTTTCAGTGTTTACTGCTCGCTGCTGTTGGAGGCAAGGATCTGGGTCTGATCCAACATTGTGGTTCTGAGACTCTTTTATAAGTCTGCAGTCTCCAAATTGTAGAAATTCCTTTATCAGCACCTGCACAAACTCTGCCTGAGCCAGGCCACTAAATTAGTCTCTCCTTTTCCTAAGTCCTCATACAGAAAGAGGTCTATAAAAATATTGAAGACAGCAGCAATGGATGTTGTTAGTAGGTGAGGGGTAAAAAAGACAAGGTTGTGGAGCTGTTATGAGATAGGAGGCAATAATCCATGTCTACCTACTGCAGATGACACCTGCTTGCTGTACATGCAGCAAAACTTTCTGGAAAGCATTGTCTTAGGGGAACAGATTTGTGCCAGACAGGTGGTGGCATGACCATCCAAAACAGGCTGTATGCAGCATTGTAGAGTGATGTGGGGAAAATGACTCCTTGCTCCTTTGTCTACCTGTACTAACCCAAAAGCACTTGCAGTTCTGTTTCTCTTTGTGTCAGAAAATAGAGGGATTTATTTGGCATGCCAGAACTGGTAGTGATGTTAATGACCAGTCCTCCATAGGTATCAAGCAACAAGTCACTGGATCAAGGTACATCTTTGCCTTCATGAATGACCATGAATTTAAGATCATCCCCCAACTGAATTAGCACTAACAAAGCAACCCACAGCAGGCAATTGGCACATCTTTCCTTTCCTCCCTGTTCCCCTTCCCTGGAGTTTACTCCATGGCTTGCCTTACGTGGTGTGTAGCAAAAAGCTGTGCTGTGTAGGGACAGGACACAGAACTGTGTTTCACCAGGGTAAGCCAGGCCTCAGATGTGTCACCCTGGAGGCCCCAGTGCATTTGCACAACCACAAAAGGGTTTATAATCCAGTCTTATGTGTGAAGAAAAGCCAGACCTTTGCCAGGGTAGCAGTTAGGAACTGCAAATTATTTCAGTGACTGAGTGTTGCATAACTTCAGTACTTGGAGAGAGTTTTGATTTATGGGTGCAATTAGTGAGGGAGACTACAGGTTTGATAACTAGAAGGTTTGCTTTTGAAAGGAGAACATGCTTGGGATAATACTCTGGCAAGTTGAAAGTGCTTTGTGAATGGCTGTGGCTTACACAAACACGTTACAGTCTCAGGTAATGATCTGTCTCTTTTTTTATTCCTTTTTCTTTTTAAATGGCAGCTCACACCCAGCGCCTTGTGCACATCCAGTCAATGCTGAAGAGGGCTCCAAGCTATCGAACCCTGGAGCTGGAGCTGATTGAGTGGCAGGAGCGGGAATTATTTGAGTATTTTGTGGTAGTGTCCCTGAAAAAGAAGCCCTCTAAAAACACTTACCTCCCAGAAGTGACATACCAGTTTCCCAAGGTAAAAGAAAAATTCCTGTGTACAGCTCATTTTAAGATCAGTAAGGTGAATAAATGGAAAAATGAATAGAAATCCAGTTCTTAAATGGAGCTTTCAGAATTGTTCCAAACCAATCTGTTACAAAGCATAGAGAAGGTAACTGAAAGCTTTCCCTGTTTTCAAATTTATCTTTTCCGGAGCTGGAGAATTTGGCCTGATGGTGGATGCTTTAAACACTGTGTTTAAATTCAGTTTCTAAATATTTCACTTTTTGGCTATATTAGGATTTGTTCCAAAACACGCTGAAGTCAATGGAAAGACTTTTGCTGATCTCTGGCATTTCTCTTGTGCTCTTGCAGCAGAAAGGTATTTGAGTCAGGGCTGTGTTGTAAGTGGCCATCATACAACAAGGGAGTTTCAGACAATTAAAAAAATGTAAAGCCTGTCCTGGAGTCATGCCTCCCTCTGCCAAGCACAACCACAGGACAATCTGATGGCTCTCAGAGCTGCTCAGTGACCCTGCCCCTGAGCAGAGCTGGAGGGGACACCCAGGGCTGGCTGACCCTCACTGTTCTCCTGGCAGCTGGAGAGGCCCACCAAGCAGATGCGGGAAGCGGAGGAGCGCCTCAAGGCCATCCCACAGTTCTGCTTCCCTGATGCCAAGGACTGGCTCCCTGTCTCTGAGTACAACAGGTGAGTGCTCCAGAGCTGCTCTGCACCATGGACTGGTGCTGGAGTGCACTGGAACAGCCTCAGCCTCGTCAATGCCCAATTAAGGAAGCAGCAGTTTGAGTCTTGGCCACTTTGTGATCAAGCAGCTGTATTTAATTTTTCTTTCTTTTGAAGTTCTGTGTTCTTTTTCTTCCCTATTCTGCCTGCCTCACAGGCCTGTGTGGCTGAGGGGAAGAGGCTTGAAGGTTCCTCTGAGTCCTAAACTCAAAAGAATAAATGAAAGTATTTAAAATAAATCTTAAAAAGGATGGGGCCCTGCCTACCCCCTGCCCTAGTAATTCGCCTCAGAGTGCTTGTCTAACATTGCAGGTTACCCCTTCATTTGGTTCAAAATGTTGCTGTCTGAGAACTTTCTTGGAACTGTGCTCTGTCCTAGCAGAGGAGCCCTCTCTTCCTTCCATTGGAGATGAATCACTGCAGGAGAAGGGCAAGGAAAAGGAGAGCCAGGCTTGCATTTTCTTTTTCCTTCAAAGTGACCACGAAAAATGTATAATTTTTTTTCCCCTGCACTGATATGTGAGAACTGGTTGTTTCAAAGGTGTAGAGTAACAGGATAGGCAGAAGGGATGGAATTGTGGAATGGTTTGGGCTGGAAGGGACCTTTAAAGATCATTCAGTCCAACCTTTCTGCCATGAGCAGGGACATTTTCAACTTGATCAGAGCCCTGTTGAGCTTGACCTTGAATGCTTCCAGGGACAGGACATTCACCACCTCTCTGGACAACCTGTCCCAGTGTTTTATCACCCTCATTGTAAAATATTTCTTCCTTTTATCTAGTCTGAATCCACCCAGTTTTAGTTTAGAATCACTACCCCTTGTCTTATTGCTACAGACCTATTAAAAAGTCTATTCCCATCTTTCTTAGAAGCCCCTTTTATGTATTGAAAGGCCTCAATAAGGTCTCCCCAGAGACATCTGTAATTATACAAACCCTGGCGTTTCAGCACCAGGAATTGTTTTATATAATACCATTTAAAAGTTGCAAAGCATTCAGGAATGTTTCACAGCCCAGGCATGAATTCACAAATCACCCATCCCTTTACTTGTGCTGTTGTTTTACTGTAAAACTGTTGTTTTACTGCTCTGTCACAAATGGTATTTGTCCTAGGCAGAGACATAAAATGAATTGGATTTTGGAAACCTGTGTTGTTTCTGGATTAGAAAATGATTACTCTCAGAGAATATCTAAGGTTCTTGTTTTAAGAACAAAGCTCAGTCCAAAGACAGGATTGAACTAAAGGTAAAGGAGCATTGGAATACTGCCCTCAAAATCTGATTCTCATATTTCTTCTACAGTCACTGACACTTTGCACCCATCTCTTCTGCTAAGACAGCTGGGTTGTCCCTAACTATACTGCTGCCAGATTTTTTCCACAGAGTATGTCCTAATGGTGAAGACCATGCAGTGGGTAGCATCTCTCACTTGATGAGTGTCCCTTGCTAAGTGATCCACCTTGTAGCCATGCTGTAGTTGTGCTATAATCCCTGCAATGGGCAATTCCCTTTCTCCTAGTGAGACCTTCTCTTTCATGCTGACTGGGGAGGACGGGAGCCGGCGCTTCGGGTACTGCAGGAGGCTCTTGGTGAGTACATCCCCCTCACTTCAAAGGGCAGAATCCTCTTGAAAAGGATCTCAGAACTACAGTCTGAACTGAAGGTGTCTCTCATGGTTTTTAAAGGAAACAGGGTTTTCTCACTCTGAAATTTGGAAATGTAAGGAGATCAAGTTGAAATAAGAAGTTGTAATGGCCATTTTAATCAGATAGATCCCAAGGTTTGTAGCAAATTCCTGAGAATGTGGATCCTGAGAATGTGGAAAGTTTCTTGTGTGAGCACTTACTTCATAAATTCTTTATGTTATGTACTTTCAAGCACAGTCAGAAATACTACAACACTGGAAACAAAGGCAAAGCTGGTATTTCTAAACATTTGTGAGTAGTGTTTATCTCTTAGGCAGCTGCTTACATCTCAAATGACTCTGCCAGCACTGTGTCATCAGTCTGCAGCTCAGAGCCTTGCAACAGGCTGGTGCCAGCAGTGGGAAGTCTGGTGTCTCACACAACTTTCAATCCCCATGACCAGGGGTGGTCAATAGGTGAGGTGGGGAGCCTACAAACAGCGTTGTCCCACCACCTGAAAAATCCCTGGACACTTGATAAACTTGAGAGCACTGCAGTGTGTGTATCAAGGGGGAGGAATCTGCTGAGTGTGTTAAGGGAGGTGGAGCACAATGCAAAGAGGGATTCTGGTGTCCATCCTGCACACCTGATGGGATGGCAGCAAAGCAGAAAGCAGTTGGTTGTCCCTGCACTAGCCTTGCACCTCTTGGGTAGGTTTGGAGCTGTTTGTGAGTGACTGGGTGGGGAGCCATGGCTCCTGTCATGTTCTCCTGGCTGTTGCCCACACTGGGCTGGGGAGCTTATGTGGATATTGGATGCTGCAGGAGTCTTTGGCTGACTCTCTGTGCCAAATGAATGTCTGCAGCAGTTTGTAAATATGTCCCCCCTCTCTAAGAGTAACTCACACTGGCACTTCCCCCCCTTCCCTTTCTGGCATCATTTCCCTCCTTTTCAGGCAGGGATCACCTGCCTTCAGTAGCTTCCAGCAGAGCTCTCCCTGTCACTGGCACAGCACCCCCTGTCCTGCGCTGCTGCTTGTGCCTGACCCTGCTCTTCCCCTGCTCTCTGTCTGTGGCAGAGCCCCTGGCATGCAGACTGCAGATGCTGTCTGGGAGGTTTTCTGTGTGTGGTTCCTCTATTTGTGAGAAGTTTCATTAAGCAAACATAACAGAAAACTTGTTTATCAGTTCTGGGGGCGGTGTTTGCCATAGGTAGCATCACAGAGAGTCACTATGTATTAAACAGTGTGTCACAGTGGGCCACAACAAGGTTGATGTGTGGGCAGGAAATGTCACTGAAGGCTTGTGCTGCAGTAAATCTAGGGCTGGTCAGGGGGTAACTCAGGGATGAGCAAGGAAAGCACCTAGAATTCATCCTTGCTGCTTTAAATATGCATAACAAGATACAGGGCAGCAGTACAAATCAATTTTTTAAATGAATTGTCATTTAAAAGGATAATAAGGTCTTATTTGGGAAAAAAATAACAAAACCTCAGAAAATGTTGGTTAGAATAAAATTATGGATTGTTTTCACTCTACCAGGTAAAGGTGGTTTGAGACTTTTATTTTTCTGAGAATGTCAGTACATTTGTAATCATGCCCAGAGCTTGCCTCTGTGAAATGCCAAATGGTTGATCCTGAACCATGCTGAGACTGAAATAACCAGTGGCAATAAAAGAGATTTATACACAGGAATTTTGAATCAGTTTTTCAGTGAAACATTAACATGGGGGTTTTTTACTCATTTAAAGCTCAGTGAAATTCACCCTACATTAAGGACAACCTAAAAATAGAACACTGACTTTCAGCTGGTGCAAAAGATGGCTGAGTATATTAGGAAATACCAGGAACAGAATTAAATCAATAGTGCATGCTTTTATATAATGGTGTTTTGAGACAGCATTGGAGATTTTTATACTCCCCTGGATAAGGCAAAACTCAATCAAATAGCAAAAAGAAAAAGGGAAAATAAGTAGTGCTTTGCTAAATCTATCTAATAATTATAAAGCCAGTTATAAAGCAGATCTGCTGCTGCCACCTTGGGTGATCACTTAATTCAGGTGGCTTAATCTGGATTCCAAACAGAGAAGCCAGAAGATTCTGTCCCAGAGAAGCTGAGATGTCTCATCCCACTGGTACAGCCTCCTCAGCCAAGGAAAGGAAGGAGTGATGCCACTGCACTTCACCAGCTGTGCCCTTCATGGGGCAAATCCAGCCCATGCTCTTCTCAGAGCAGAACTGGGGCTTAGAAAGAGAGGGCATTTTGGAAACTGCAGAGAAACAGCTCAGCATTTCTTCTACCTGTGGAAAAGGCAAAAGTAGCACACATCTTTTATTTTGGTGCTGCAACCTCCTCCTGTCCTGCTGGGAGAAATGTGGAATCTGGGTACTTACCTGAAGTGCCTTTTCCATAGGGTTTGGAAGTGTAACAATTTCATGTCTTCTGCAAAGGTTGGTGCATGGTGAGACAGCCTTACTAGTGTGTGCCATTAAACCCCCCTAAAATTCTTATAAACTGATCCACATTAAGCCAAGCCAACTGCTGTGAGGTTAATTCCTTAGAAAATTCCTTCCTGAGCTGTCCTGGTGGGGGATGCTCTTGTAATACCCAGCAAGAGGTGTCTCACACCTTCTGGTGCATTTGGCAGCCTCGTTGGCAAAAGCTCCATGGCTGGCTGATCCTGTGAGGGTGCCTGGCTGCTCTTCTGCAGGGTCTGCTGTGCAGATTCCTACATTTAGGGAACAATTGTGTTTTGTCAGCCTTGCTCTCCTTTGGCGTGTTGTGATATGAACAAACTGTTCCACTTTTTTTTCCTTCAGATCTCAGATTCTTCCAGACCTTTTCTGGGGTCTGTGTGCCAAAACTACCTCAAGGGATACAGTGACAATTATGTTTTGTTTGTTCTACAAATCCTGTACAGTATCCCCTTTAAATGTATTTATATTGTTTTGTTTCATTTTGGAACAGGATTAGAATGGAATGTAACCTATTGTCCCACAGCAGACAATCTGCATTTCCATAGATAGCATGAAATTTTCCAGTTACATCTTGATACCTCCAAGGCAATTCTGGAACTGCTTTTCTAGTGAGTGCATGTGTCAGCAGCAGAGATGATCTGGGCACCCTTGCAGGGGCTGTTTCATCCTACGCCTCCCTTCCCTCTCTCATAAAATTTGATCCTCCAGCACTTTTCTAGGCTAAGACAAGCCAGCCCCAGGAGTCCATGGAGGAGCAGCTGCCTGAAGGTGAAGTGTGTACCTGAAAACATGGAAAGCAGGTGTTAGGTGGGACTAGCCTGATGTCCTGCATTTGCTGGGGACAGGAGAAGGGCATTCATTACAGTGTGAAAGCAACTTTTGTGGGATGCAGACTGTTTATGGAGCTGCAAAAAGCTCATTGGAAAACCCTTTTTCTCCTTGCTCCCTCCCATCCTGCCCTTGCCCAAGCAGTTTGACAGCCGTGTGTACACTGAGTACTCTGGCACCCAAAGTTCATGTTTTATAGAACAAGAAGTCTTTAAGAAGTGCTTTTGGATTTACAACACCCACAGTTTTCTCATGGTCACAATTTGGATTGGCCCTAACAAGGAATCAAGAGCCTCCATAGAAACTGATTTTAGCCTCCCAGTGTTGGAATTGTTCTGATTCCTGGCACCACTAAGCAATATCTCTGTTTCTGGATGTACTGGGATAGTGCATGTGCTTTGCAAAGGCCACTTCCCTCACAGCACAGCTCAGTGCTATGGCAGACTGGGAGGAGATCTCTGAAGTCTCCATAGAATCCAAGCACATGGACAGGGAGGTGAGATTTGAAAGAGAAAAATGGCAAGCTTAGTTTTTGGAGCAGAAGCCTCTTGTTTTTCCTGCCAAAGATTTTGGAGTGGGCTTTAGTCAGTAATATTCAGATTAAACTCACTATAAAAAAGGGTGTCCTGAGCCACGTGTGGACCAGCCCTGATGCAGAGCTTGGCTTCTCCACCTCAGCCAAGTTCTTGTCAGTTTATGTTCATAATTTTGGGAAACTGTCTTGTTATCATCAAAACTCTTTAGCATTTTCATTTTGTGATACTGGACTAAGGCTGAAAATATCCTGGGCTCCACAAGAACAAATTGAAAGGGAATCAAGCCCAAAGCATCATCTGCTCCATCTCTCTTCTTTCAGGAGCAATGCAGTGCACAAGGACAGAGTCACTCAGGTGCCTCTCAGCTGGGCTACTTCAGCATTTTGCTTTCCTGATCTGGACCTATTCTTTGTGTGCAGGAGTGAGTCCTGGATGGATAGCATGACTCCAAGACTGTGCAGCCACTTGGCAGAGCACAGCCTGCCACTTGGGAGAGCTCCCTTTTGGGAAGAGAGGAGGTTACACTCGTCCTGATGGGCAGACCCCAGTGTCCCCTAGTGACGAGGGAGGAGTCCAGGCAGGAGTGGCATGTCCCATAGGATGGTCTTGCCCAGGAAAGAAGCAAACTAAAGCACAGTGGGTGTTTTAAATCAGTCTAAAGTGAGGTGTAAACTGATGGCTGAGAGGGGAGGTTATCTGAAGGGTTGCCAATGCTATAAATTTGTTAAGTTCTGCCCCTCACAATGGCTCTGCTCAAGGTTTTTGCTTGCTGCTCTTACAGCTGATGTGTGTGCATCTGTGAGGCTGTGCTGTTTGCAGGAAAAGCTCTCTGAAATAACAAAAAAGGATGTCCTACACAGTGAGAGCAGGGAGGGAAGAATCCCAGCTCCCACAGGCATGTAGCCTTTAAGACATTTGAAAGCAATGATATTTCATAAAGGAGAAACTTGGAGTAAGTGCTAAGCAGTTATTGTTTCTGGTCTTATAGATGACCCAGGAATGTGATGTTTTTACTGGCACTCAGTGAGACAGCTCTTGGCTGGGAGCTGTCCAAGGCTCCTGGCATGGCTTCGGCATTCCTGCAGATTTGACACAATGATTTTAACCAAAATCCCACATGCTTGATATAATCACTCAGTGCCTTTAGAAAGGATTTTATACCTAATATGGACAAAAAAGGGCTCTGCTTTTTCAGAGATGTGACGTGTAGTGAGCAGGTTTGGATCCAGAAATAGACTCATCTGTATTCACTTAGCTTTGGAATTTTTTTTTTTGTGATCTTTATTATAACAGGCAGGCACCTGCTGAGTGTCCAAGTCTAGAGTGCAATATTCAGGTTTAAAAAGCACAGCTAGCCCTCAGTTTCTCTTGATTGTCATCTCTGTGGCATGTGAATTTCAAACACTCCATGGGGAAGTTGAGTACCAGTAGAGTCCAACGAGAGACAAAGTGGAATAGGCAGGGTAGCAGAGTCCAGCATGCTGAGGAGGTACCATTTGCTTCTCCAGGATAAATCTTATATGGGATGGTTATAGAGGATGGTCTCCACAGTTTCTCTTGGGAAGGGGGTAAGAGGGATGTGTATCATTGATTCATACTTGCCACAGTTTAAGTTATGTGAGTTTCATGTTTATCAGGAGTTGGTCTGAGGAAGTTAATGTTTTACTCATGCAGCCTGCTTTGTTTAGGTTGTGAGCTCCCTTTCTGTAGGTTGAGCTCTCTTTGAGCACCATAGAGTGAGGGAGTGGGGACCTAAAGCCATCATGGCCTCCCTTAATGTTGCAGTTCTTCTCTTGCAGCACACAGCCCCAGGGTGGCCCCACTCCTTGTGCTGCAGCAGGAGCAGGGCACAGAGATAGCAGAGGCATGAGTTACAGCCCTGGTTCCATGTGCTTTTATGGCTGCAAGCTGGAATGAGGCTGGGATGCAGCTCCAACAGGCTGTGATTTCCAAAGGGGATAAGCTCTATCTGTGCCTTTCAGTTTCCTGCCTTATGGTAGAAATATGATGCTTTTCCAAGAGCAGCTGTTTGTTGGAGAAGCAAATAGTGAGAGATGTCACATGATGGCCAACTGTGTGGTCAGAGAGAGAAGTGTATTTCCTCATGGCTCCACATGAATGTGTAATTCCCATCTCCTCTTTTGCTGTTATCAGCCCAATGGAAAAGGCCCACGCCTACCTGAAGTTTACTGTGTCATCAGCCGCCTGGGGTGCTTTGACTTATTTTCTAAGGTAAGGAGATATTTTTTAATATTGCTTTTTAATTTGATTGTTTACTGGGACACATCTGCAGTGATGAACCAGGCAGGAAGAATTCCTCCCTTTGATGGGAGATAACTATTTTACAGTTGCTGTTTTGGATATTCCATCCCTATTATTTGGTTCATCAAAGAATGTCTTATTACTTCTGTGACTGAGGCAGAAATTGATTCAGAAAACATCTGGGTGTCTGTATGATCTGGCTGACCAAAGTTTTTTCCGTTGTTTTCTACAGCCGTTCTGTGCTGAGCTGTAATTCTTGGCATCCATAGTTTGGATGATGGGCCAGTACCACTTTTACTCCAACACCCTGTGGAATGATGAGGTTGAGAAAAAAGATTATTTGATATGTGGATTCTATACACTTAAAACTAGTGACAGTTTTATTTTTTTCACTCTAGGAGTCTAGGATAAAGCACAGATGATCTTTTCATTGACCCAATTTTAATTGATTGCATTTTAATTTGCCAGAGATTTTCACTTCAGATACGGGAAATCTCTCAGAACTTCCACAGATTTTACCTGCTAATTTTCATAGGAATAAAATGGAAAAGAGCATGTAAATCATTGATGTTAAATAAAAGCATAGCATTTCTATTGTTCATATGATCTAATATTTATACAGAATATTATCTTTAAAGCAGGTTTTGAGTTTTTCTAGATAAAACTTTAACACAAGGTTTTTGTGAAGAACAACAGTTGGGTTGCAAATAGTTAATTGCAATTTTGCTTCTGATGTCATTCATAAAGCTCTGAAATCAAGGGTTTATGACAGTGTCTCTTAGGTGTAATATGTATCTAAACCCAGATATCTGTGAGTGAAATGGAATACTTTGTTCTGGGAGGATCACCCAGCTCACCACACTCATCGTGTGCACAGAACTCATAAGGCTTTTTGTTTGCTATTATGTTTTTATCTAATTTTGATAGTGCTCTATTTTACAAAGGAAGATTTGGGAGAAGGAAAAAAAAAATTAAGTATCTTCCTTACAACCAAGTATCACTGCAGCTGAGGTATAAGGTCAGACAGCTGGCCCTCAATACAATGAATAGCTGTCTCTGCCTTACACTGTGAATGATGAAAGACCGTGGGATATTAAATCTTGGATATTATTTATCACAAAAGAAAAAAGATTCCTCTGGTTTAAAATGTTTCTTTTCCTATTTCCGATAACTTTCATTATCTTTGTCTTCCACAAAGCCTTTCCCGCTCACTCACTTTCTCACTCACTCACTACAACATTACTTGTTGTAATACCTATTGCCGAGACAGACTTGGGAACCACAGATATTTTAACTTCCAGCCAGTTCATTTGGTCATGGTTTCAACAGCTGTTTCTGACCATTTTATCTCTTGGGATCTCTGTTCAACTTTTATTTTGTTTAAATGCTCCTTTTATTTGCATTGTGAAGGTCTTTGGAGCCAGGCATATGACACACACATGACCCCAAGTCCAGCAACAAACTCATCAAATAGCCGATCCTGTGGCTGCAGGAACACAGCTGAGTGCTGGCAGTGTGCAGGAGCAGCAAGGGACCTGGGGCACAGCCCTGCTTCATTGCTGCTTCCCACTGGTTTTGTTTGCTGAGGATGGCTGTGCTGCAAATTACATCAAGAGTGAAATTCATGGCCTCATTTATGGTTATCTGCCACTTCCAAGGACTGGAATGCAAGTTATGTACACAGGGCCAGCTTTGCTTTAGTTAGGCCTTCATTATGTCACAAGGAGGAAGGGGAAACTATGCACCAGTGAATGCCTCTGCTGGCATTTGGTGTCACCAGCTCTCCTTACAGGTCACCAGCTTGTGCTTAAGTTTAAGTTTTAATGTTTGCTTCAGTGAAAATCATTTCCAAGAGAAACAAGAGAAAATGTCTGGCTCAGGCCCACTAACTCTTGTATGGCCTTTTGCTCTGGAGTGGTGGTTAAAGGATCACCATTGCAGGTCAAACCACCAACTGCTTTGAACCTTGCTTTCTGTCTTCTTTAGCTTTATCATCTATATGCTCAGTCTAATGTGGGAAAACTTAGCTGTGATCTAATTTATGTTGCCCCATGTGACCAAAGAGAGAAGAACATTATAGTCTCCTCTATCTTTAAGAAGTTCCATCTGCTTATTTCAAGACTAGATTGCCTGCTGTTTCATCGAGAGAAAATGACCTTAATGCAGGCACCAGTGTGAACAGCTGGGTGTGCTTCAGGGGCAGCTGAGGGTCTCCAGCTCAGCACAGACTCTGACTTGACAGCCACTGCTGGGACCATTTCAGGAGCTCTGTCCTGCTGTCATAGTGGCAGCATTGCTTTCTGACTTCTTCCTGCCCTCTCAGTTGAAATGGAAGAGATGCCCAGTGCAGAAGAAAGTTTTTCCTTGATACAAATTTCAAGATATACCACTGAGATGTGATGCTGACCTGGGCTGTGATCATGGGATTTGTCTTCATCTTTCTCTCCTTCAGCTCACCCTGTTGTTCAGGCATAATCCCAGCAATATATACATCCCTTTAGTCATGTTGAGTCTTCTTTGAGTCTTCTTCCTCTTTTTCAGACTTGTTAATTCTTCCTTGCCTCTGTGTTAATAACATTCACAAACAGGCTTCATTTTGTAACAAAAAAACATGGATTGATGGTAATGAAGAAATACATGGCAGAGGAGACATAAATTTAGACCTGCCATGTGTTTAGGCACGTGTAGGTCAAAGGATGCTTCAAAAGTCTATGTGATGCTGATATGTTCTGTCTCATTTATGTCTTACTAATGGACCAGATCCTGGATGAGGTTGAAAGGAGAAGGGGAATATCTGCTGCCCTGGTTTATCCATTTATGAGAAGTCTGATGGAATCTCCTTTTCCTGCACCTGGAAAGACAATCAAAGTCAAAACCTTCCTGCCTGGAGCTGGAAATGAGGTAAGAAGCAACTGCAAACATTAAAAGCCAAAGCCTTACCCTTTACCACTCCAGTATCAAAACAGCAAAAGAAAAGCAGGAGGAGACAAACAGATCCTGCAGGGCTGTGGGGTGGCAAACCCTCAAAATAAGCAGAGTATGAGCTGCACCACTGTGGACATGCTAATGCTAGTTCCCATTGATGATTGTAGGCCAATTTATGGTTATGTATTTATTATTTTATGATTATTAATAAATTGTGTGTAAGAAAAGCAGCCATCACAAATGTCCCAGTGTGCCAGGCCTAGTGCAGCTCAGAGACTGCAGCCTTGCTGGGCTTTATCACAGTGATAACAGGCCAGTGTGAGTTTCCCATGCTGTCTGTACCTGAGCACTTCAGCAGCTGCTTGTTATTTCAAACCTTGTTACTGCTGGTCCTGGCCATGGTAGGAGTGACCAGCAGCATTTAAATGGCTCTTCTTGGTAATAAATACCTTTAAACTGGCTCTCAAAGGAAAGTATGCCATGTAAAACTCTTTTGTGTGTGTGTGCACACATATAATAGATGCCACTTCTTTTTATTCCTGACTCAAGTAGCTAGAAGCTTAGCATTAGACAACATGTGCCTAATTGGAAATGGCAGTATTGATTAAAAGACTTTTTCAACTTGGGGCTGGCCAGCCATTTACCATGTCAAATTTTGTTCTCTGCATGCCCCTATTTAAGAATAGAGTAGCTCCACTCAGATGGTCAAGCATATACAGGAGATTCATTACTGAAGACAGGAATAGAATTTGTCCCAGTTATTAAAAACAGAGAGAAGGAACTCACCTTTAGGGTTATTTCACCCTCTTTAGGGTTTTTTACAGTGCCTTTGTTATTTTTGCATTAAATTGTATTTTCTCTAAATGTAACGCCAGTGACTTCAATGGAGTGGGCCTGTAATGTATGGTATGAAATGTACAGGGTTCCTTGTATAAGTGACTTGCAAGGCATTTTAAAATCACATGCATTTTCTTCTGGAGAGGCAACATCTGAAAGAGTGATTGGCATAACAGGGAAAAGAGCTGACAATGCTTTTTCTGTGTGAATGTAACTGGGAGCCATGATCTGCAGCTTCTCTATCCTCTGCTCAACTTCTAAACTCTCCCAGAGAAAAATATTGAGATAATTCCAACAAACAAACAATTCTCTTCTGGCTGAGCTTTGCTCTCTGTTGTGCTAGTACAAACTCGTTATTTAAATGGAATGCACTGGCTTAATTAGGAACAGAATCTTATCCTTCCATTGTGGTTCCTCTTGCCTAAACAAAGATGGTGATTAATTGGGAAGCAGACAGTGTATTTCTTTGTGATGAGCAGACTGAGGCAGCAGGCTTTGCCAGGCAGCAGAAAACATCCCTGGTATTTGTAAAAGCTGCCATAACTTGCATTGCATCCTACCCTGCAGCAAGATTTTCATGTTGGCAGGTTTGTAGTAGAATCAGCCCCTCCTGATTTGGCACATGCACTTGATTTGAGCTTGCAATCCCAGTGCTAAGGAATGGAAGTGGGCACCTTTGCTGATTGTGAGAAAGAGTTAGGCAGCTTTTCCAAGGAGCCATTCCTGGTACAGTCACTCCACAATTTGTTTCTTGCTGTTGTTTGGGGCAGCAGCTGAGTGATGGGTGTCTATACATCACACTGTTCGTGTATTTCAGGCTTAAAAAAACCAAATCTATTTGATTTAATACATACTGTTCTAAGAGTGGCTTTCTTTTTACAGTTGTTGTGTTGCTGATCACAAACAATATCACAACTAAACTGATATGAACTTATTTTGTTTACAGTATCCTGTGATCTTGAACACATTCTTAAAACAGTGTTTGTGAGGAATTCAGTAAGGGCTACCCAGTTAAAACCTGATCCAGTCTGCTTATGGGATGTGCTGTCAGCTGCATAAAAACATAAAACTAGTCTAAAGCAATAAAGTGATGGTGATTTTTGGACATATCGAAAGAAGATGCATGCATGTTCCTGTTGACATATATTCAGAGATTTCAACATGGCTTCAAGTTGGCCAGCTTCTTCCCTTTCCCTTTTCTGTTTCCTCAAATTCCTCAATGGTCAATCATTTGCTCTCTTGTACTTCATATTTTTCTCCTTCTGTTACTCTCTTCTTCACATTATTTTTCCCTCTTCTTTTTTCTGTCCTCTGTCTTCAAGTTCCACATCTGAACATGTCAATTGCAGAGTAAAAGGAAGATCTAATAAAGGAATCAAGGAAAAGGCATTTGAGAAAAGGAAGGAGAGGGCCAGAGGTCATGGATGAAGTATGAAAATTAGACTGTAAAGGGATGTCACAACTCAGCTTCTAAGACCTTGTCCTGACTCCCCAGTTAAGTATATATATGTGTATGTATCTTTACATGAAAAGAGAAAGATTTTAAACATTATCTAGTGAATTACACATTACAGAAGAGTGGAAATAAAGTAAATTGGGTTCAAAGTCTTCCTGGCCTTTTAGTTGAGTCCCAGGCTCCTATCTAGATGTTAATATGAATTGTTAGCCAAGTTCAGAACCCAATTTACCTTGACTTTATGGCTGTTTCAGCCCTGTAAGCTTCCATCTCCAGTGTTTGATTGTTTATTTGCTTCATACTCTCAACTCAGCCAAGCTTTATGTCCCTTACAGAATGTTTGGAAGGGGGAATTATGCTTCCCTTGGAGATGACAGCAGACAGTGCACACTGCTGTATTCTGGGAAGAATGGCATGCAAGGAAGGAATTGTGCAATACACCGTTTTTCTGTGTGTGCACACGAGGGGCTGGGTCACTGTGTGTCCCCTCAGGCACGGGGCAGTGCTGCAGTATAGTAGATATTTTCACCCCTGACAAAGGAGAGGAATGATGAGGAGGACTCCATCTTATCAGTAGGCTAATTAATTACTTCTTTGTACTATATTATTCTATATTATATTGCACTACATTACATCTAAACTGAATCTGCCAAGCACTCAGCTGCACTCTACTGCACAGAATCTCATGACTGTCAGCTGGCAGTCCCCACACACACCCCTGGATTTGGGTGGTCAGTGAACAGAACGCTCACACCAAAATCCAGTTATCAATTCCCTTCAGGTAAACAATCTTCCTCAATGCATTCCACTTGTGAGCAAAACAGGAGCAGTAAATGAGATAAGAATTGTTTTTTCTTCCTCTGAGGTTCGGAGAATGCGAATCTCAGAAATATTCTTGGGAAGAATTGTGCCTTGCTTTTGTCTGTGAAGAGAAACGTGGCCACCCTGCAGGGCCAGGCTGTCTGCAGGCCCCTGGCAGTGCTGACCCTGCTGTTGTTGGCTGTGTGTGCAGGTCATCGAGCTGCGGAGGCCCATGGACTCCCGCCTGGAGCACGTGGACTTCGAGTGCCTCTTCAGGTGCCTGAGCGTGCGGCAGATCATCCGCATCTTCGCCTCGCTCCTGCTCGAGCGCCGCGTCATCTTCGTGGCCGACAAGCTCAGGTGAGTGCTGCAGGCACCTGCAGGACAGTGCTGGCTCTGGGTGCAAAAGGCTTTAGGGAATGTACTGAATGGTTTTCAGAGGTCAGGATCTTCTCACTGGAGGATTTAAATGTCTTTTTACATCCATGGGTGTTCTGTCTTTCCCACCGGTAAAACGGCGATATAACTTCTCACCTTCTTCACAGTCAGCAAATGTTTGCACAGCAATTTGACACAGTGTAGTGCCAGCAATGTTTCTCTCAGGTTTTGGACACAGAACACTCATAATGAGTAGCAGAGGCTGTCACTGAGGTGCTTTACCTTGTGCTGATGCAGTGCAGGCAGGGAAGTGAGGTGCTGAGAGCTCCCCTGATTTGCTCTGTGCAATACTGAGACTTTATGTTGGGGCTGTTTCAATTCCTGCCCTATAAAACCCAGCCAGTGGGAGTGTTAAACTGCTATCACAGCACTTCCCAACTATTGAGGATATTTTTCCTGGTGCTCATGTGGCCTGAAAACATTTCAGGAAGCTTCATCTTGGGCTCCTTGCTAGAACCTCTGAACACACCTTTTGCTTCCCTGCCCTTTGATTGCAATCTCCCCTCTTTGTTCCTCTGAAGCATGAACTCAGCCCAAGGTGTAAGGAGTGAGAGCAACAGGCCACATCTCCACATGGCCTTTCCCAAGGAAATGGGAGCTCTGTGTAAGCTGCACCCCTGCCCCACAGCAAAGAAACATCTTATTTTTAGATGCTTCTGTAATCCATACAGAAAAGTGTGGGTAATGTAAAGAAGACATTCTTTTCTGTGGCATGATACATAATAAAAAAAGGCAAATAAAAGTAAAGCCTGTGATTTATTAGACTCAGGAACATCCAGCATCTTTTAAAAGGACACCAGAGGCTGTATGGGAGGTTAAAAACACAGATGGATCTACCCAAACAAACTCTGCTAAACATTTTATCAGTCCCGACCTCCTCTGAATGACTGCCAGAAACAATAGCTGCACTTAGTGGCCGCCAGTGTATATAATAGCAAAAATACTTTGCATAGTAAAAGCTTTACAACCTTTAGGGGAGAATTTCTTAAAGCTGCAGACCCTTCTCAGGTTATAAAGTTACTTCCTTAGCAGTCTTTTTTGTGTCTAGAACAACAGGAACATTTTATTTTCGTCCCTTCTCTTGTCAGTAACCCTTGGTTTAAATGACCGTTTGGGATGCCTTAATTTCACATAAACCTGTGATGAGAATTGTGTAACTAGTCCAGGGTTTCTGCAGTACTTTAGTAGATATATGAATCACACCATGAATATTGGAGCAGGTAGCTTTAGAAATACTGTTGGTGTGTTCCTTCTGACTTTTCTTACAGCATGTTTATTCACTTTATTCTGTCTGTTTCTGTTTTGCCATTCTTTCAGCACCCACAAGTCTGACTGTAATTGAGATTGACACAAGTCTGCATTCCTTCCAAAGGCACAGTGATCCGAGTGGAAACTCACAGAAGTGGTACAGCAAAAGTGAGGGCTCTGCTGTGCAGCTGCCAACTGCTGCTCTGCTCTGGAGTTCCCAGTTGCTCCTCTGTAGTGTTCTGTGGATCACAGGCACAGTCCTGCAGGGATGCCTTGCTGTGGGAAAGATCCTCAGCCATGAGGGATGAGACAGCAGCCATTCCCTGGAACATTTCCCTGGCACAGCTGGCCTAGCCAATGTCATATAGTGCCCTGGGCACTGTCCAGGGAAAATCAACAATTAAACCTACTTTGACAGGCTCAAGGTAGCTTGGCATGGAACACAGTTGTGTTGCTGATAGTGAGGGCTTGTGGTAACCCAGGACTTTATCGGGCAGCCAGGGTTTTATACATTGCAGCCCTGGCTGGGAGTTCAGGCTTGTCTGTGCAATTACCTTTCTCTCGGTAGCTGCCTAGTCCCACAGGCCTTGGAGCATGGAAAAAGAGTTCTGCTTACAGACAGTGTGCTGCTCACCCTTTAGCACACAGAAATAGGGCACCAGGACCAACAGGAACCAGAAATTATAACGATCCCTTTTGGTAAATACATATCCCTACACTGTGCTCTCCTGCAGAAACTGTTCTCCAGTGAGCTGTTGTGTTTGTGTCAGAGGGGGCCATGGGATAAGGGCCATAACACAGGAGAAAAGAGAGGATTCAGATGGATCTGAGAGGCTTGGGAGGCTTTGTGCTTGCTCCTGTAAGAAGGGACAGAACCTTTCTTACAAGAAGGGCTTATGTTCATGTGCTTTATTATATCCACATGTACCCTTTATTGTATGTATATACTTGGTTTCATTTGATAAGAGGATGACAAAATCTGATGTGGTAGATAAGGTTCTGCATGCAGACTTGTGGATCCTGAGCTATCCCTCTGACCCTCTGACCTGCTCAGTGTCACATGCTGGAAACATAGCACCTCTTTCTTATCCTTTGTCTGCTCTGTCTGGGATCCCAAACACTCTGGGATGGAGACCACTTCCTGCTCTGTGTGTGCAGCAGCTCTGCTTTGTGCACTGTGGTCCCTCTCAGCACGGGGATCTAGGAGGTACTGTAAACCAGAAACTAATAATGAGTCCTTTGACAAGAGCCTGGAGAAAGTGACAGTGGATTTAAATTCAATACTTACTGAGATTTGCATGGTTTAAATAAGGATGAAGTCTAAAATGAAACACTCTGGCTTTGAGCTAGTAACTGTCTTCTTGGAACCTTTGCCTTGTCTGACATGAATTTTGTTTATGGGCATCCTGGCTGAAACTGGAGTTTACCAGTAATGTGGGAAAAAAAGAGAAGCTAAATATCTCACAGGTCCACTCTGTGCCCAAAGAATGAGAGCAGGAAATTAAAATGATTTTACAAGGGTTTGATTTCTGTATGTACCCAAAAACTAGCTTAGAAATAAATGATGTTGAGGTTTAGGCTTCAAACAATAAGATGCAGTGGGCTTTTGTGGCTGCCTGTTTCCAGCAATAAATGATTTCACACATTATACAAGTCTGGGAAAGTCATGCCTGGTGAAGTGAGATTCATTCAGTAAGTTGTTATTTATGGTTCTTACAGTGCCCAGAATGTGCCAAAATTTAAAGTCCTTGATCTTTGCAGGAAGAGATTGTTAACACAGAGAGTGATGCTCCCAAGTAGTGAGGAAACAACAGCAAAGTTCTGAATGACAGCACTGTGAGGTTGCCCTCGTTAGATATGTGCAGTTAGGTTTGGGTATTTTTCCCCCCAATACGTTGATTATGTATTTTTTCTGCTTGAATTTGGGTGAATAAATCCCTGCAGCTATTTGCTCACCTTCAAAAATGAATGTGAATCTGCCAGCGACCTTTCAGAATTTTGCTTTCTGTGAACAGTGGAGCAGACAACAGGGAAACAAAAATAATGATAAAGAAACTTGGATTAATAATAATAATAATATCACAGCTCTTAAAAAGGAAACTTAAAGCTCCAATTCCTTAAAAATCTGCTGAAAGCACAGCTGATGTGATATGCTTCAGGCCAGCTCTAATCCCTGTCCCACTGGGACCCCTGTTTATGTTCCCAACATTCTGCCTGTTCACCCCAACTCTGGAATAGTCCTATGCCTGCCAGCTGCAAAGGGGGGCTGCTCCTGTGCCATCCTCTGGGGTTTGAGAGGCAGCAGATGCAAAACCAGCGGGGCCTGGGGCTCAGGAACATTGACCTTGCTGCAGGCACAAAGGTAGCAACAGAAAATAAATAGAAAGCAAACATTGGAAGAAAAACATTTCTCTGCTTGTTTTAGTTTTATGCTGGGGAAACAAATTTGTGGACATGTTTGCTGAGGAGGTGATGTATCCATGTGTGGGAGAACAGCCTCTTTGCCTTTTCCCCTGAATGTTTGCAGAGGGAAGGGAAGGCCCTGGACATAGCAATGCCCTTTTGTTATAAACCCATTTTTTTATATATAAAAACCACTGTTGCTGTAATCCACTATATTGGGAAGGACTCTGAGGATATTTTGCTTACATTTCACATATGGGTCCAGTCCAATGCCAGCCACAGTCAGTAGGAGTGTTTGGATGAAGTTTGTTTTTTTGCTATGAATCCAAATCCTCCAATATTCTTCTTTTGAAAACTTTTGGGGATGTGAAATGCTTCTATAGATCCCCTCCTCTTGTAAAAGACAAAACAACTTCTCATTGTTGTGAATTTTGGTTTTATATGAGGTACTTCAGCTACTTCTCAGTGAAGCAGGAGCATGGGTCTCAGGGAGACAACCCTAACCCTGCTCCTCCCCACAGTATTTGGAACTGCAGGAGGAATCTCTCTTCCAGCACAACTGTAGAAAGTCCAGGCAGATCCCAGACCTGACCAAAGGTTACAGGCTGGAGACAGAAACACTGACTAATAGAGGACAGAGCAGAAATATGTAAATAGTGGGGAAGTCATCCCACAGGCATGTCTCTGTTAACTCTGGAGCAAAGGAGGAGCAGAGTGTTCTTGTGTTCAAGGGCAAAGGCTTTCAGAACACAGCAGTGTTTCCCTCTTCTCACGCACAGACACGGCTCAGGGCTGGCTCTGCTGTGCCCAGGATGTTCAGGGAGTGGTGATGCCTCTCCTCATGTTTGAATCTGTTGTTTTGGGGCCAGGCTAGAAGCTGGAAGCAAGAGCTGAGAGGTAGCCTGGTCCCCATTTCTTGGTGCCTACCTAATAAACATCCTTTAACCTAGCAGCCAAAATCATAGCATGATCTTGTAGCTCAAGTTAAAATATGCAAATTTAAATAAGAGATAAGTGGCAATGTTTTAGTAGTAAATCATTGCTCTTCAGTCCAGTAGCAAGGTCAAGTGGAAAAGCAAGAATAGCTAATCTCTGGGGCAAATTACTGAAGTGCAAGCTCATTCTCTATTTCCTTATTGTTCCTTTTTTATTAACAAAAGTAGGATTTAATTCTTACAAACCAGTCATGGCCATGACAGGTCTGAACAGCTTCACCAACTGCCTGGGAAAGCTCCTTTCCAGTAGCTGGCATCTTGTAACACTTGTAAAGT